TACAAAATCTACAAAATCTACAAAAAAACCAATGGCTCCCTAGGACACACCATCTACCAGAAAAAAAAAAACACACACACACCAACCACTACTTAAACACACAATCTCATCACCACCCCGTACAGATCAACTCTGTAGCCAAGACCCTCATATCCAGAACCAAATGCCTAGCCGACAAAGGCTACGTGAAAACTGAATTACACACTCTCACAAACATATTAATCTCCAACAGATTCCAAAGAAAAACAATTACCAACCTAATCCAAAACGAGACACTCCCCAAGAACCAAGACACAGAACAGGACAATGGCATCACCCTCACCCCTTATATCAAAGGCACCATGGATAAAATCAGCAAAATTGTCCACAAGCACAATATCAAGACAGCCTTCAGCAGTAGTGAAATTTAAGCAGTATTGAAACAAAGCCAGCACTCCACACACCCATCCACCAATTTTTGTAGAAAGATGGTAGCTCCGGCCATGCTTAAAGCCCAAAACCCTGCCTGAAGATGGCGAATAAGACCTCGCTGGAACGTTACCAAGACAATCCGGTCTAGTGGAGGTAATTGGCAGTAGGCGGTCTCTCAAGTACCCAGGTCCAATACCATGAAGGGCTTTATAGGTGATAACTAGCACCTTGAAGCGTACCCGGAGATCAACAGGCAGCCAGTGCAGCTCGCGGAGGATAGGTGTTACGTGGGTGAAGCGAGGTGCACCCACGATCGCTCGCGCGGCCGCGTTCTGGACTAGCTGAAGTCGCCGAATGCTGTTTCCTTCCCATTAAAGGTGGCCTCTATTCTTCTACTTGCATGTTTTTCCTGTGCTTTTGAACTGCTAGGTTGGCAGAAGCTGGGACAAGTAACAGGAGCTCACTCCGTTACGCGGCGCTAGGGTTCGAACTGCTAAACTGCTGACCTTTCTGATCGGCAAGCTCAGCGTCTTAGCCACTGAGCCACCTGTCCCTAGTTGCTAGTGCTGGAGAAATCCTAATAAATTATCCGTAGAGATTCTTGGTCATCCAGGTCATGGTTCCCCCCCCCCCCGGTCCTTTTTTTCAGGAGGCAACTAGACATTCTTGTTTGTTTATTTTCTTTTGAAGAGATTTCGCTTCTTCACCAAGGAGCCTCTTCAACTCTGGCAGAAGCTTCCATTCCCCAGAACTGAAGAAGCTTCTTGGAGGAGAAGCGAAACAGCTTCAAAATAAAAAAAAAACAAGAAAGTCCAGTTGCCTCCAGAAAAAAAAACCCCTTGGGGAGGGGGGGGGAGTTACTATTAAATTTGCTTTTAGACCAGAGGGGTTTCTGCCCTGAAACACAATTTAAAATGGAGCAAGGAAGAAACAGTGGAAAGGGAAAGAAATAAGGCGTTAAATCGGGTTTTTTTCTCTCTCAAACTTCACCATTTTAAGAGGCGTGGACTTTTAACTCCCAGAAGACCCTGCTGGCAGGAGAGTTCTGGGAGTTGCAGTCCATGCATCTCAAATTGGCTTAGGTCAACAAACATTAGACTAAATGATTATTTGAGATGATTTTAAGCATCACGAACGCAGTTCTGGAAATCTCTCTCTCTATAAATGGCTATAGCATAACTCTGGAACGACTTCAGCAATTTCAACCAAACTTGGTACATAGATAACTTATTCTCTGGAAACAAATACTGGGGGGTGGGGGTGGGGGTAAGGCACCCCTAACACTCCTCGGGGTGTGTATTCTGTTAAGATACAGCTTGTTGTGCCTTAAAATGGTTTCTAGTGCACTGCCGTAAACTGGCTTCTACTGTACAGTGCGGCGGAGTGGAGTTGCCATGGTAACGGCTTCACAGTACTCCACAAGGAGGCTCCAGCAACATTAGAAAATCCAACATTAGAAGTTACGTTTGTTCCAGACATTTCCCCCCTATAAATAAATACCCGGGCAATGCCAGGTTAACGGCTACTTGAATCTAAAGAGGATAACCAGATGAAGAGGCTGCTTCTGATTGGCTAACGTTGCAGCCATTCACAGCCTGCGCCTGCCAAATACAACCAATCGGAAGTAAGAATCCGAAGGCATGGGCCATCCGTTATAGAGAAAGGGCCATTCATAAATTCCATCAGAGAGTGTTCTACTACTGGTGACAAAGTATTAGGATCTTTTTATCCTTTAACAACAAATTCAGGAAAAATGCTTCAGCTGAAAATGTATTTTTCCCCCTTTTGACTTGGGGCTTCTCCAGGCAGCTATGAGAGTCATAATTAATACAGGAGAGAGGATATTCCAAAAGGGGAATATTTAGCTTATTTAAAATGTCTTCCATTGTAATGGAAGAAGTTTGTTTCAAATATAGCTTTTCTGCCAAAAATTAATGCAGAATAATGGACCAGTTCTTGATGTGGGCAATGTGGAGGATTTTCAAGAATATTTCTGCTCTACCGTTCTTCAACAGTAGTTTTCATATGCAGTAAAAAAAATTCTTATAAAGCTAAAGGATTACAATGTTTTTATCTGCTTAAACACGGGTGGCTAATCCTTGAACCATAGTTACAATCGTTGTTATTGATGGAGTGGTGCAAATAATGGATAAATGACTCAGATAACATTTGAAATCTGATTAAATCACATCTCTACTGACACTAAGGGCGGACTCTCAATCCTGAGCCTTCAACCATCTCCTTAAAGCAAGCACCAACGTCCCATAGAAGATTATTTTTCCTGTGGAGATAACCCACCAGTGGCCCTCTAAAACTTTTGAAATGCCCAACAAGGCAAAAAATGGTATGAGAATTGTAGTACTTTAACATCTATAGAATTGGAGATCCAAGCCCCTTGGCGTTTGCCAAGATCACTCCAGATCTCTGGTTAGAAAGCAACCAGATCTGAGATCACCTCTAAAAGCTAAATCAACAGCCCCATTGATCCGAGTTAAAACCTGCTGAAGAGAACCATGTTGTTCAGAAAACATAATTTTATCTCTTCGTTACATTTCCCCACCCTCTACTATCTGTGCCTAAGGGAGAAGCAAGCTGCTAAGTACAGCTACAAAAGGATATTCGGAAGAAAACGTAAGATGGAATCCTTGGTGCGTTCTTTGGGGCCGAGGTGGCGCAGTGGTTAAATGCAGCACTGCAGGCTACTGCTAGATCAGCAGTTCAGCGGTTCAAATCTCACCGGCTCAGGGTTGACTCAGCCTTCCATCCTTCCGAGGTGGGTAAAATGAGGACCCAGATTGTTGGGGGCAATATGCTGACTCTCTGTAAACCGCTTAGAGAGGGCTGAAAGCCCTATGAAGCGGTATATAAGTCTACTGCTATTGCTATTGCTTTGCTTGCTGGTTTTCATGACCCAACTAGGTAACGCCATCAGTCTTACCAGCGAGTTGGGTTATGAAAAGTCCAAACCGGCAAACCACCAAGCTCAGAGAGCATCAAGGATTCCACATGTAACCCCTATGTGATACCCACCTCCTTTCCGACCGGATTGCATCATCATTCTTCGCCGGACAGTGTCGAAGGGATATGAGGTCAGGCCCGCCACCGCCGTTACCGTCTGTGCGATCATCCAGCTGATTAAGATGTGAGTGTTCTTTGGGTCGGGAAGCATTCCTGGATAAGGAAACCAAAAACTTCTGCTTAATTACGGTCCATGAGTGGGCATTTCCTAACCATGCCAACTTTTAAGACAGGTGGACTTCAATTCCCAGAATTCCTTAGTCGGTGTGGCTGGCTATGGAATTCTGGGAGTTGAAGTCTACCTATCTTCAATCTTGCTAAAATTGGAGGGGGGGGGAAATGCCTTAAGAGCAGGGATCTCCCACCGTGGCAGCTTTTAAGACTTGCGGACTTCCATTCCCAGAGCTTTATATTTCTTTTTATTCTGTTTTATTTCTTTTATATCCCTGAGTCGCCACGTGCGAGTCGGCAGCAAGATAAATTTTCTAAAATAAAAAATTAAATTAAATAAACTTCTCAGCCAATTTTCCTGTCTGGGGAATTCTGGGAGTTGAAGTCCACCTATCATAAAGTTGCTAAAGTTGGGAAAAAATGCTTTAGAGCGGGTCTCTTCCCACCTTGGCAACTTTTAGCTCTTGTGGATTTCAATTCCCAGAATTTTACATTTCTTTTTATTTATTTTTTAATGTGGTTTTTATAGCCGCGTAAGCCGCCTTGAGTCGCCATGAGCTAGTTGGCGGCAATATAAATTTTCTCAAATAATAAATAAATAAACTTCTCAGCCAACTTTACTGGCCTGGGGAATTGTGGGAGTTGAAGTCCACCTACCTTAAAATTGCTAAAGCCCGGGGTGGGGGAAATTGGTTCCACCACAAAACCGCGGTAGACAAAAGCGCGGTCGACGAAAGCGCGTATGTGACGTCATCACAGCGCGACGAAAAAGATCGAAAAATGAAGAACTAAAGNTACCAGATTAACCCTTAGTGCCTCGGCTGGTTCTGCAGAATTGGAGTCCAGGTCTGCCCGGAACCAAGCAACCTTGTCTGCGAGAAATTGGACGTAGTCCTCAGCCCTGCCCTGCAGCGGATCACCCATATCCCTCCTATTTAGGAGGGAATGGGTTATCCTAAACAGGGCGGCTGGGCGTGACTCAGCAGACGCAACCAGAGAGGCAATGTGTGTTTTCTTAGCCGTCCTAATTGCCCGAACGTAATCTCTGGTGTAGGTTGTCAAAAATGCTCGGCTCGATTCAGATTTGCTGGACCTCCATAGGTGCTCTAGGCGTCTCCTTTGGCACTTCATCTCCCGGAGTTCCTCAGTAAACCAAGGAGCCTTCCGGGATCCACTGCCTCGGAGCGGCCGTAGAGGCGCAATCCGGTTAAGAGACTTCATCGCTGCCAAATCCCAGGGAGCAACCAGAGTCTCCACTGGACTGCGGGTGAGAGTATCAGGAATAACCCCAAGCTCCATCTGGAACCCCAAAGGGTCCATAAGTCGCCTGGGGCGGAACCACCTGGTCGGTTCCTCCTCCCTACAGTGGGGGTTTGTTCTCCGAAAGTCAAGCCTCAATAGGTAGTGGTCTGACCATGACAGGGGCAAGATCTCGCTACCCCTCAGACCAAGATCACAATTCCACTGCTCCGAGAGGAATACGAGGTCAAGCGTGTGACCCGCTGAGTGGTTTTCTTAATGGTTTTCTGCAGGCTATTAAAAATGGAGTTATTTCAGAGAGTTTTATAGGAGATGAACTGATGCTATCAGCCTTACTGATTACCTTCCTTTACCATGACTGTATTTAAAGAGCTGGTGCAGGTGAACCAAAGAGTGTTTTGCAGTGGAGTACTGCATCTAATTAATAAATATAACAATTCAACTTGCTGAATGTAAAATGATTGCAATTCAACACGAATGGATTGAAATACAAGCTCAAAGGAGTTCAATTGCTAGGCAACTGTATATAGAAAAAGGAGGAGAGAGAATACACAAAATGCAATGAAGTAACAGAACAGGATTCCAGCTCTGTGTCTACAAATAAGTAAATAAAATTCGAAGAGGAAAATCTACACCCACAAACGACTCCGGTCAATGCGTGCCTATAACTAAAGAGCAGCCTGACCTTATATGTGCAGCTGATTTCAGAGGATTTTTTTACTTCAACAGGCCCAAAGATTATAGCAGGGAAAGGTGAAGGGTGCTTAAATTTCATGTTTGAACTGCCAAGACAAGCCGTTTCTGCTAAGCATCGTGAGCCTCCAGAACATAGATTTCATTTCAGCCCAGACATGAAGCGATGGCTTTGCCTTCTGGAAAATTTGTGTAAATAAGGTGGCTGTTCTCCCTACTTTCCCTCTTCTCTGCTCCTCTCCACATACACACACAAAATATTGCGGGGGAAGTGCTGGATCTTCAATCCCGCGCGTAAACAACCCCAATCACCTTCCGGCTTAGCCTCTAATATACCAGTCGGGCGACTACCCCTTCTATGGGATAATCTATGCTACAATAATTCTAGTAATAATGCTAGTAATGCTAGTAATGCTAATGACGCTGCATCTATTCGGTTTCTTGCAAAGGAACAGCTTGTCTCTCTTCCCACCTACTCCCATAGGCCCCCACCCCTTGGGGAAGACGCCCGCCTGCCAAAGCAAACGGGAACCCACTAAAACCCCCGAGAGCGCGAGGCTGGGGCGGGGTGGGCGGGGGAGGCAGAACCAAAAGCATCCGGAGTCTTAAAAAGTCCGAAGCAGAAGAGGTGGGATCACAGCAGTTTATTAAGCGAGGCTGCAGCAGGCGGAGATCCAGTCCAGTCGAGTCCAGGCACGGCGGGGGCGATGGCGAGCGAAGGAGCTGTTAACGGCCAAGGGAAAAGCTTCCTCCCCGACGGCGCAGAGCCGCCGAGTTCAGCCGCGGTGCCCATGCTGCCGGCTCTGGAGGTGTCGGAGGAGCCGGAGAAAGCGGCGACGGCAACGGCGACGGCGCTTAAAGGGAAAAACAAGGACCCCTCTTACAAAGTCCTGTCCCTGGTAAGCAGGCGGCGTGCTTTGGAAGACCCGAATGGAGGAAAGCTCTTGGTCTCCGAAGGGGGCGACTAGCCGGGTTCCAAGTGACCCACTTCAGGATGAGTTGGCTGCGGGCTTCTCTGAGGGCAGAGAAGGGGAAAAGAAGGGGGTTGAAAAGGATGCGGAATCGGCCGACTTTGCTTAAAGACTTTTTTTTTGCGCAGTTGGTTGGCAACAGAAAACTTACCCGGGCTTTGCAAGGAAAGGGCTGAAGCTCACGGATAAACATTTTGCGCGTGGAGAAGGTCCAAATCTTTGGGTAGGATTGGGGTGGGGAGGGGAGAATGCTGCCTGATTCCCTGTTTGATTGAAAGAACGGTTGATTTCATCAGATGGGGTTTCGATGCCTTGATTTCTTTTTAAAACATTTGTAACCATAAATAATACATAGAAACAGGCTTCTAAACATGTACAGCAGTGTTTCTTGAGGTGCAGTCCTAGGAGTGTGGACTATAGTGTTTACCTGGAGGTCCCTTGAAACTTCACCCAGGGTTTCATGAAAAAAATAATCATTTGCCAGCATATGCTGAAAAACAATATATGATCCCATCAGACAATTGTGACAAGCAGTAGTTCAGTGAATGCACCCTTTTTAATGTTTCATATGGTAAATATTGATAAATATAATCCCATACGAACATAAATTGTTAAAAAGCCATAATTTTTAAAAGAAGAAAGGAAAAGGGTTAAGAAACATTGATACACAGAGTGCAATTCCTTCGGTATCAGCTTCTCCAGAAGAACTACTGTACACGGGTGACAGAAACAGTAAGGGGTTTAGTTAGGGTAGGGTTTAAAGTCAATGATTTCCTCTCTTGGGTGCAAAGTATTATGTACCATCCTTAATCATATGCTGAACAATGTCCAAGTGGTAGCATTGCATGAACTATTTTAAACACATTCCTTGTTGAGACAAGCAAGTGAATCTTCTGGAGTCCTCTGGAGCCAGAATTCCCAATGAGACTGGCCATTGGGGTGGGGCATCACTTAAAGAAGCCTACACTATATACATTATTATGCCTTTGG